AGTGATGAATTTTAATGAGATATCAAAAAAAAAAAGGGAATTGCATATAGAAATCTTCTTAAAAACATGTTGGATATTCGAGATACCGTTTCTTTGGAACTATTGAACGCAAATAGTTTTATCATAACTCTAATTGGAGCTGATTCAAAGCACAACAAAATTATACAAGATTTCTGCTAATGCACTTTTTGCTAGTGTTCTCCAAAATTGGTCTTGGTCTTGAAATTTGCAAGATCAAGACTGGAAAAAAAACTAATTTTTGTAAATAAAAATTAAGGCAAAATAGTTACTAATACTCGACAATGCATTTACTATATGAAAATAATTGGTATAACCAATATACTTTTGTATTTAACTCTTCCAATTTTTCATTCGGGCTTAGTTATGTTTCCCCTATTTGAAAAATTACAGTAATTTCTCTATAGTAGTAGGCTAATTGCAAGACTGTTGCGAGACTCTTAAGCAAGAGTCTGTGTGCGCAAGACTAAATCTCGTTTGGTCTCGCATTTGGGCAACACTGATGTACACTATCGGGTGAAAAAACGTGGTCTCAATTTTTTTTTACGGTACGATGCCCCATCTCAACTTCGGCATAGATTTTTTGGCATCAATGGGGGTCTACAGTTTTACGCTGGCTTGAAGCAAATCGTCTTCAAATGACGCATTCGAGTCCCTCCTTTCTATAGACGCCATTTTCGAACGCCCTCTTTTAGTTGGTTGACTTGTGCAAAATGGATGTTGAAGATGGACATTACCACGGTGTATGACGAGTTTTATTTAAATAAGTACAAAATTTCGACTTGGTATTTGGATTATAGTCTATTTATTCCAGCTACGATCGTCAAAAAGCAAAACTGATGAAGTCTTCTTCTTGCACAGAATAATTAAATTATAAAAATATGAGATACTCATTAAAACCAAATAAATATTTTTTTTCTAAATTATGTATATATATAATATCCTACTGTATTATTTATAATAGGCGGTAAGATATAGTTATGATAATAAAATCCTCTATCAAAGGATAATTACAAATTTGATATATAATCGACTATCAAGTCATTCGGAATTTTCAGATTATTATTCTTTGAATAGAAGATTTAAAAAAAACAAAACATTAAATGGTTTATGCATTAAAGAGCAAGGGATTTTATCCTTGATTTCAAAATCGAATCGATTTAACAGCAAAGCCATTGTGCCTTGGTTATCTTGGGAACGAATTGTATGACCATAAACTGAAGACAAATATTTCCTTTAAAGAAAGAAAAGGAAAAAACATTCCAACACAACGACAGCTCGGCGACGCCATTTAAGATGTTATAAAGGAGGCAGTGACCATTTCAATAAGTCACTCTTTCAACTGCCAAACATATCTGGAGGGAAAGTGTGTGTGAAGAAAAGAAATCGAGACTCCAGTATCGACTTATAATATGGCAATTCGGTATCGATTTATCAGTATATACCTGTCTTGAATTGATAATTAATTTTTGGTTTGAACTTAAAAAAATAGTTATTGCATTACTATAAAATTTCTTTAGAAATAAAAAATAAAAATCATACCACAAAAACATTAACAGCAGGCGAAAAAGAAACTGGATGGAGTATCAGTTCCAGTCATCATTTTTTTTTTGCTATATATCATTGATGACTTATTACCTTGCTGTCATGTTCATAGTATTTTTTTTTTTTCTTTGAGAAAGAGCTTCTTATTTTATTATTATTATTTTTTTTTATGCTCTCAAGATTTTACACAAAATCCTATTTTCCCAGATTTTTAATTTTTTTTTTTTTTCGTTCATATCGAAATTAAATGGAACTGAAAATTGTTCTTGTTTTGAAGTGATATATATATTTTTTTAAGGATAAATATTACCATTATTAATTTTATTCATTTAATTAGTAATAGGATGATTAGGCAATCTCGATTTTTTAAAAATTAAAATAGACTTTTGTACCGAAGGGTACCGGAGGGTAGGGTATGAATTTGGGTAGTGTGTTAAAAAAATTGCCTTTTGGGGATCTCGGTCCATTAACTAGTGTCAATAAATTAATTTCGGAAATAAATTATAAAAAATAATTTTAATATATTATTCAATTTCCTCTGATAAGCATTAATAAAAGAATTAAATCATTACCCATCTATTTTCCAAACAAATGTGACGTTATTGACGGAGATGAAGTACTTTTTGTTTTTTAATTTTATTTGTTTTGTTTTTTTTGAACATTTAATAAAAAATAATTTTTTAAAGTGGTAATTATGATCTATAATTAAGAAAAGAATATGTTTCCTCCTTAATATATGATACATGAAGTAGCTGCCATATACAATGAATTGACATTAGATATAGCTATAATTAATATTATAATTAGAGTCATTTATTTCTATTTTATTATTTTCTATGATTAGAATGCTACCAATGGGTAGATTCTTTACAAGCCTTATCATTTCACGTATTTCTCTGTACCATATTTGCTGAATGTATATTAATTTGTACAGTTGTAAATTTTATAAATAATAATAAAAACATTTTTTTTCTATTATAAGATTTTTCCTGTTATTTTATTTTATTTTTTCTTTTCTCTACTACTAGTACTTTTTTTCAAATGGAATGAGATCAGATACCATAAGATGGGGTAACTTTGGGAGACCGGGTAAAATTTAGTTTGTGTTGATTCCGTGGCGGATACACTGTGTTCATTCAGTGTGCAAAAACGTGATTTGTATAGGCATGTACTGCACTATTACCTTGCAGCAGTTTGAAAACTCTAGTTCACTACACTCGTGGAGACAGATTTTATTTATTTTCTATTTTTTTTTAATTCTTTTTTTCATTAATTCTTTTTAATTCTTCGTTTGTGCCTCAAAAGTAGAGTACCGCAAAGTATTTGTTCAGTACATGCCTACAAAAACAACGTTTTTGCAGACTGAACCGACACAGCGTATTCACCAAAAACTTAATTTTACCCGCTGTCCCAAAGTTACCCACCCAGTCCCAAATTACCACGTCTTACGGTTTTTTTTCTTCGTTACACTTCAAATATCCACATCAGACCTGAATATGCAATGGGAATCGCACTCCATTCAGAAAAGCACAAATTACTTAAGTACAAAGATTTAAAAAAAAATAATAATAATAGCTTACTTGTCGCTGCGATATTTAATAATAAAACTCAGTTTTAGTAAGTATACCATACTTACTGATACTAGTTTACGAGCCTTATCAGTAACGAAGCAAGCCATTCGTCAAAGGACCGGAATGTTCCGCAATACGATTGCAAAATCGCCATTTTTAAGACAACACTTAATGAGGCACTTGATTGCAATAAAATTGACTATAAAAAGAAACTATTAAACAACTGTTGATCGTGCCCTATCAACGGTGACTGAATGAACAAAACTTGAGAACGGGAGACATCGCCCGCCCGTTAGGCGTTGAACAAAGGAGTCAGAAACAACGCGCGTCAACTTATACGTAACCTTTGTTCTGGCTGTAATGCCTGCTATATTTTAAAAATAAATTCTTACAGAAAAAGATTTGACTTTCCTACGCGAAGGTATTTTGAATAGTGTATCTTTAGCCTTTTAAAAATAGAAATAAAAAAAATAAAACAGACAACTATTGAAACAAAAATAAAAAACACTAGGTATAAATTGAATGAAACCAAATTAGAATCCATGATGAATGATTGCCCTACATCAGGAGCGAAAATTTTTTTATAAACATGAAACATCACTTACAGGTAAAATGTTTTTGTATTTAATTGTTCGTAAACTCAGTCCGTTTTTGCAAAATACAATTCAATATAAATAATCCTTCAAATAAAATTATCCCTGCAAGGTATCGATAATGACTAAATACAAAACTTGGTCATAAATATATGATAATTAAAAAATAAATAAAAATGAAATAATTCAAATCCAAACTCTGACGAACTACAGTAATTCGTTATATTCTTCTCATGAGATTTTTGATATTTCACAGATATGACTTGAAGTCTAACTTCATTAAATTATTGCAGAACTATCAGTCAGTAAGAATAACATTAAAAAAAAAAACAACTTGTTGATATTATTATATATGGTGTCTTAAAGTATTATTTAACTACAACGACGTTTCGAGCTAATTTGCTCATTCTCAAGTCTTCAAAAATTCGAACAAAAAAACATTTTCATATTTTTTTTCTCTGTTTTTACACTAAGTTTTTACTATATGTCATATTTCAATTTATTTTAGTATTAGGAGAGTAAGAAGTTATAGAAGCTCTCCGATTAGCTTTATAATTACATAGCTGTTCATTTAATTATATATGTGTTGAGCTCCTGTTACCCAATAATCTCCTAATACAAAATAAATATTTTCAACTAAAAAGTTAATTCGTCTGGTGGTGGTAGTTTGATTTTATCTAGGAGATAGCAGTTATTTTTCGATCTTGAAATTTTTGCCCTTTAATACAATATATTAAGTATTATATTGTATTTAATATTGTTTATATATATTATAACATATTTCGCTGATAAATTATAGAGAAAGACAGCTGCCTAATTGAGAACTCTTAATTCAATAACGAACGTAAACTAGAAGGAAGTTATTCCACTGTTCTACATATCATGGGTGATAAATATTCAGGACGCAGACTTTTTAATTTTTTTTATTTATGCCAATGATTCAGGGCGTGGTTCGAGCACTGAGGTTGTTCAAGTCATGACCTGAGGATGACAAACGTTGTCATAAATAAAACAAATTAAAAAGACTGCATCCTGAATATTTATCACAAATGGTAACGTAAACTAGTGTTAAATTTCCCTCATAAGTCTATATATACTCGTAGAAATACTGAGCTCAATAGTGAAGGGATATTTTTCAAGCATTACATAATAAATGGGTAGCCTATGCTAACTTAGAGGATCATTCAAATAATCACAGCCTCAATGATAGTTATTAGCCGATAATTATTGGATAAAAGACCGTTGTATAACTACTCCAACTTAAAAGGAGTAGTCAGGGGATCAGCTGCCTTCTTGCTTTGCAACTCGACGTCAGAACATCCTTAAACCGATCAGCGGTTGAGAGGTAGCGATTAAGTTGACATCTATAACGTACCTCTTTGACGTCGTGCCGAAAGTTATAGGACTCGAAATGAAAAGGGTTTGTTGACGAATAGACAATGCGAGCTAACCCCCGCTGGAACAGAAGAAGTAAAGAACGGTGGGGTAAACACAATGAGGAGCAAAACCACTTCACAAGAGCCCTGCGACTCCACACAACACCGGCCATCGCGAGGCTGCCTGTTGCTCCCACAGTCCCAACAGAAATAGTTCTGTAGCTCTTCAAGGAAGACGTGGGCCACTCCGGAGATTTATCTTCCAAGCTTACCCTCCAATAGAACGCAGAATCCCTTAGTATAAAACATTTGAAATTAATTACTTATATATACTAATTACAAAGTATATAATTGATACCTTTGTATTCTTCAAACATTAGCGGCATTAAAGAAACTCTATGTTGCTTCATCAATGCGAATTAAGTTAGAGCATAACCTTCCAGAAATAATCGAAGTCAATCCGGGTATACTTCCGGGAAAAAGTCATAGTCTTGCATTATTTATTGCAAATATATCTGTCCTTCCCGCCTAATGCCCTATTATTAGACACAGAAAAATTTCAAGAAGACTTGGATAGGATTTGTGAGCTAACAAGTTGAATTTGAATGCAGAAAAGACGAAGGCAATCTTAATAGTCTCTAATCACCTCCTTAAAACTGTTCCTAATATTCCAACTCTGCTCCTACATGATAATCTCATCAAATTCTATCCTTCCATCAAAAAAATTGGAATGATCTTTGATCAAACGCTTTCCTGGAAAATCATATATCCAACATATCCCGCCGTACCATTTCCACCTTAAAACGTCTAAATTACTCCCGTCACCTGTTTCTCCCTTGAAACCCGTAGGCTCCTAGTAACTTCCTTAATTTTCCCCCACTTTGACTATTACTGTACGGTATATGGAGGTATGGGAATCTCGAGGCGAAATTAAAACGGTTGATAAATTGCTTTGTACGATTCATCTTCGGGATCCCAAGGGACGCCTCTGTTTTTTTTATTATTAACTGATTTAAATTAGAAAGTAACTAATTTCTTTTATTATTTTGACTATTTAATTAAACTATATTCTTGTTTATGTATCTTTGAGGCTCCTTAGCCCACCTTTTTGTCTTTCTGTATTATTCTAAAGGGACCCAGAATAAATAAAGCATTATTATTAAGATTATTTATTCTGATTGAGTCAGATATTATCGAGTAAGTACTGAAAGTTCGTGACCGAGGAGCCCTTTGGTTTTAGCACCAATCAAAATCATAAAGTAGTTTGCAAGTAAATGATATTGTCGTCCTCAGTAATACCTGGAATGGAGAGCAACCGGCGAGTATTGTAGCGACAACACTTTCACTTTCAACATAGTTAAGTCAAACGTTTTAATTTTCCACAAACCGGTAAAAATCTGAAGACTTTACACAAGCGGAAGTACACCAGGAACCACACTAACTTAAGGGTACCCTTTTCATCATCCAGAAGATTTGAAAAAAACAGCTAAGATCATCTGTTGCAGTAACCAAAGTAATGGCATTACTAAAAAAAAAAAACTGTAAAAGCGAATCATAGAAGACCAAAACTAATCTCATCGATGCATTTGTTTTACATACAATGCTCTAAACTACAGAGACTGAAGATCTGGAGATTTTGAGAAAATGCAAGTAAAAAAAAAAATCAATACAATGTACACCTAAACAAAGGAATATTAACACCGTAAAAAAATAAAAATCCTTTGAAAATATCGTGCACGTGTGTCCATCCTTTGGTGACTCAAAGCAACATGGGCTATGGATGTTATTTAGTATGTGGCCCTAACGACAAATGTTTAGGCTCGTAAAAGGAGTTGTTCACCATATTCAAAAAATCATTAAATAAAAAAAAATAACTACTTCATTTTAGTTTATGTTGTGTTCGAATTCGGATTTTTATGAAATTGAAATAAAAATATTATTTTTAAAAATAAATTTGAACGAAATTTGGATACAAACAAAAACGCCGAAGTTCAAAATCACCACTACCAACTGCCATTTAATAAGTGGATTATTAAATCAATTTCGAATTGTATTAATTATACATAGGACTTCAATGCTAATAGGCCTTGAGTGAGTCCGAGTAAAATCGATTTAACTTTATGGAAAATCATGGAAGACTGGAGAGGGTAGGAAAAAAAAAAAACAATCCTAAAACAGCTAACATATTGAAATATCAAACATCTGGACATGTTGAGTATATTCCGGTCACTCCTGTCCGACTCGACACCAATAAAAACTGAGAACTTCGACTAAACGAGGAGTTTCCGCCAGAAGTTGACGACTCTGACCAATGAGCAATTGCCTACAGGAAGGCTGGACTCTGCTCTATTATCTCGGGGATAGATCTGAAAGGCACTGGCACCAGGACTTTCACAAGCAGATTATGGTGGCACTGCCCCTCTAATTGAGGCAACTGATCCCTATCACTACCAACCACTTGTTACCTAGTTACGTTTCAACACGCCTGGGCAGGTATTTCATGTAGTGTGTATATATATATATATATATTATATATATATATATAGAGAGAGAGAGAGAGAGAGATAGTGAATTTAAAGAAAATTTATATAAAACTGAATGTTCATAATAATTAATTATATATTTTTTTACTGTGTTTTTTATAATAAAGGATTTTTGTTGTCAATTTGGAAAACGTCGAAACGTGTTTTTTTATATGAATTATTTACTTATTGAATTTTCATGGATTTACAATTGAAATTAAAATTAAAATATCTTTCTAAACTATCTTGTTAACTTTTTTTTTTTTTCTTTCTATATAATATCTTTAAACAATTTAATATATACTAAGCTAATGTTTAATATTCTTTAAAGAACGTGTTATTTATTTAAATTATTTACTAGTCAAATTGTCTTGGATTTACAATTCAAAAAAAATAATATATTTTTCTGTATTATCTTGTTTATTCTATTATATGCTTCTAAGGGCTAATTTATAAAGAGCACACCTGCTAATTTAAAAAAAAAAAGTGAAGGAAGATTAAATGATTATTTCACTGTTTAACCTTTCGTTTCACTAGAACTGATGAAGGCCTGAACTTTGGGCCGAAACGTCGGATAAAATGACTTAATTTTTTTTTGCTTATTTATTTTTACAGTTTTTGACTGATCGACCCAACCAATCATTTCTTCTATATATATTTTATTTCGAAAGGAAGAGAATTTTTTTTTTTTAAATCTTAAATCAAAAAGCTAAAACAGTAAAATAATCATTTCATCTTACTTCATTAAATTTTTAAAATAAGGAGGTATTCTTTTTATAAATCAGCTCTTAGCAGCACAAAATATATAAAATAAAATAAACAAGATATTACAGAAAAACATATTTTGTTTCAATTGTGAACCCAAGACAATTTGACAAGTATATAATTTAAATGCACAACACGTTATTTAAAGCTAACGTTTATAGAGAAAATTTTAATTTCATTTAATCTAAATTGTGAACACAATTCAATTTGTCTAGTAAATAATTTAAATAAATAATACGTTCTTGTTATTATATATAATATAGAGAATATTATATATTAACTTATTAAATATTAATTAATACTTACTATTATAATGATTATTATACATTAAATTGTTTAAGGATATTATATAGAAAATTAAAATTAAAAATAAAAGTTAACTAGATATTACAGAAAGATATTTTAATTTTACATTACTTCAATTGTAAATCCATGACAATTCAATAAGTAAATAATTCATATAAAAAATACGTTTCGACGTTTTTCAAATTGAAAAAAAAATCCCTAAATATAAAGACAATAGGTAGTACAATATCATCGCAGAAGCGATAATTGAACATCTTTATTATTCCTTAAATTTATATGAATTCCATACAATTGAACAACTTCATTAAATGATCACACATCTCATATTTCTAAAATATTTACTTATATAAAAAAAATTAATATATATGTACTTTATATATATATATATAAAGGTAATAAATAAATAACACTCAGCAGGAAATGTTGAATAAGATAAAATGATTTGCGTAATTCAATTTCAATAAAAATTCAAATACGTCATGTCGCTTCAATAGTGACGATATGATAGCGAACAAAATAAAGATAAAGAAATATTTTACACATGTTCTATTTAACAAATATACTATCAAACTTCCACTTGTTTAAATAATTCAATACGTTCGCCAAAGATAAAGATAAAAACTCTTAAAATAAATTTTTTTGAATGAGTGAATTGATAGATGGACAATTTTTTTTTTTTTTAAAGTAAACAAATTTGATAGTATATTTAAAAATAATACTCATATTTTGGCATTTCCAAATTATATAAGTGCTCAGATTGAGAAAGTTGTAGCATCCGATGAAATAGTGTAAAAAACAACAACAATATATACTGTATCTGGCAATGTATAATTTTAGAAAACACGAATAACTTTTCTTTCGTGAAAGAAATGAGATCTAGTTACGATGTGTCACAGTTTCAAATCCTGAAAGAAAGTTTATTTTTGGACCTTAGGGAATCCCAACACTTGAAAAGTTCGATAGAAGAATTTTCTACGAACGTCTTTCGCTCTTACTAGAACACGAACTGGCACGAAGTTGCGACACTATTTGTAATAATGTGTCACTCATTACACCTAAGATTAGCAGACTGAGTCATATTCTTGGCTTTATTTGGTTATTTTGAAGGAAGCTAAAAGATACGAGAGAAAAACTAATCGAAAATCGATGTATTTGACCAGAAATATAATCAATTTTAAGTTAGAAAAACCAATAATATCTGGATAATTACAGGACAGATTTTTTTTCTTATCAAAAAACCATAACTAAATAAAAAATCTGATCCAAAAGTATGTACCATAAAAATTATAAGTAAGGCATATCTTAAGGAACTATTTTAGTCTTTTAAGAAATGTTAACATATATAAACGAACATACGCGACAAGATTATATATAACTCAATATAATTGCACGAATTGCAAGAATATGCACGAAATATTAAAAGAACTATTACAAATAGACGCATTCCTAAACGTATTCGTTCTATTATTTCGGCCTTGCTCTAAAAGGCAGCAGCTCCAGTAGCCAAAATATGAGAACAATTTTTGTTCAAACAGTAATAATAATGCTATTATTAATAAAAATCTATATCTTTATAATAATAATATTTAGTCTAAATATCAGAAAAGAAGCCTATCAATTTTTTTTTATAAATTCTATAATCACAACTGGACTATAATTTATTAGAAACAAATCTAATTTAACATGCAGTAAATTTTAAATGACAATTCTTTTTTAAATATGTACTGATAATATTTATTAATCTTTAGCAAGAACTTGGATCATGGGAAAAGTACCTAAAAAATTAGCAATAAAATAGATAAAAAATAAGCAATATTCGGAAAGTAATTTCTTATCCACCTTCTCCCAGTAAAATTACTATTATTACAGCATATTACAATAAAATTGAATAATTATAAAAAAAAAAAAAAAAACAACAATACCTACCTCCCTTAAAGATAATTATAATTTGGACTTTATTAATTTTTAAACATTACTTTTTATTGAGTTAATGTAGTTTTAGTTCTTAAATTGCTTTAAGAAAAACAGCCATTTTCGTTAAAGTGTGCAATCATTGACTAGACTGAAAATAAAGAATATATTCATATATTTAGAAAACGATTAAATATAACTGTTCTTTGCTGTAAATTTCATGGAGGATGGGAGGAGGGGAGAGGAAGATTTTCAAATCATGGAAATCGTACATAGAAATAGCTAAGTGTAATATACCAATAAATTCAAATTAAACCTGACAAAAATAAAATAAAATAGGTTATTTAGGATAGAGAAACCGTTCACCATAATTCCTTTCTAGTCGTAGTATGAATGAAATATGAAGTGGTGGAATAAAGCGGATAAAAAAAAAATATATGAAAATAAAATTAACGATATAAAAACAAATCTGTAGTAATACCAAATAAAGACACATACCTATTAAAATCTACAAAAAAAAGTTTTAATTATAGCTATTAATATTTTTAATATTCCTTCCAAGCTCTTTTATTTTTATATTTTTCTTATTATATTTCTTATTTTACTTGTCCCTGTTTATATATACCTTATACGACATTTTATAAATATTTTCTCTTACTCTTATTCTTGAATGACAATTAATTATTAATTGGTTGACATGAAAATGAATTATTAAATTTTAATAATTTCCTTGCATTTTAATATTATTTTGATTTATCGATCCAGAACGGCTGATTACTATTATATTTGTTTTTAAATAAATTAAACATATTGATAAATGTTTATTTCTCTCTTATATTTTATAACTCGGTAGTGAAAATATCATTTTACAAAATTATGTTTCAATGACATCCAGGCTTTGTATTTTTGTAAATTCAATGCGTGACAAATGAAATACAAATATAGGACATGATGTATGTAGGGTTCCTAACGTATGTAGTATTAAAACTTGCCGAATATAAGGTAATTTTTACCAGTAGGTTTAAATTTAAAAAATACAATAAATTAATAAATATTGAAATTTATATATTATTTTCCTCTGAAGTAGGGAAAACCAGTTAGAATGTCAACTACTATAATTAAGGAAAACGGTAAGTCTTACTACCTGTATTAGCTAAATACCTGAGACCGGAAAAACCACATCAACACTCCAAAAGCCTTTCTAGATTGTCATGTTAGATATAAATATAATTTAAGTTGAATTTAAATTTCACATGCCTATAGGTCTCTCCATTTACAATAAACCTAAATTTTAAATATATGATTTTGGCCTGACAGCATAAATAACTTGAAAATAAAAACATTTTAGTGTGGTAAAGTGTTTTTTCCGGTCTCAGGTATCCATAGTTAATTGCTTACCTTCACCCTAAACGTAAATATACTACGGTATGCTTTTTTTCAGGAGGTCAATTAAGAACTAACACGAATTTTAAAAATAAAATAAACACAAAAGAAAAAAACTAGTGACACAGGAGTGAATTTGTAACATAGGTTAATTTTAATACCCGTTATGGGGCCACGTGTTGAATGGACGTCATGGTTCAGATGACCCTCACATGAAATTCAAAAGGAGAAAATTTCATCCATTCATATACGCGCCTAACTTTTATTTCTAAGATTAAATTATTTTTAATTTAAAATTAATTATAAAATATATATTATTCTTCCATTCAAGTTCGTATTTTTTGGAACTAATCAAAATTTTGTTTATAATACGTTATCAATTAACTACACATATTTTAATAATTAATTATTGACAAAATATTCTGTCATATTGAAAACTAAAAAAAAATAAATAATAAAATTTTGCTAAAATTATTCGAACGGTATAATTAAATTAATAAAAATAAATTAAAACTATTAGAATGGGGATGATATTTATATATTATTATATAGATATTTATATGAATAATAATACTGTACAATGCAATATAAAGAAATGTACAATAATAAAAGGAAGCAGGCGTTCTGTTTATTTCTCCAAGACAGCATTTAAATACCCCTCAACATCAAAAGAATGACCGCATATTTTAACAGGAAATGCAGGTATCAAAGACGACCATAACTGAAGTTGAAGATAGGGAAATTTATCAATTTTTTCAACTTTTGCACCACTTAGAAATAAACAAAATATTAAAACTAGAAATATTAATTAATTTTCAGTGTCTAAATGTATAAATTTTACTGCATTATCAAAGAAAATTAATGTATTAATTAGGTTTAATAATGGATATAAATACATGAAATAAAATGTACAAATGTTTCAATTTTAAATACGTTTCTGTTAAGAAATGAAAGTCAGTAGTTTTTCTGAAGGATATATATATATATCTTACGAATGATTATTCTTAATTACAATTAATATGTACAATTCATTTAAGATGTTTGAGCATTTAAAAAATCAAAAAGTAAATGCCATGGGAAAATCAAACTAGTTACACGTTTATAATTATATTTTTTAAATTTGTAAATGACAAAAAAAAATTAAGTATTAAATAATGTACATCGAATGTTTTATGGTTTATCAAAATGACTGGAGAAATACCTTTGATAAGTAGACAGACAGTACATTTTCGGTAAAATTTAAAATAAAATTGACAATGAATTCAATTTTTGACATGTTGAATGAAGCAATTTAATAAAACAATAATAGTTTGCTTAATTACATTACTTTTACAGTACATAAATTTTATGATAAGATTTAATGTAACTAGCAAGAGAGCTATTTAAACTACTACAGTCGCTGATAGAGAACGTTATTTCTTGTTAGAACCAACTTTAAGTACATTCAAATAAATTTTTGTACATGTTGACATGTCATCTAATGAAAACATCATATAAATCGTGTAGTAAGGTTTAATATAACATATAATAATTCTCATCATTCCATATAAATAATTAATAATTCATTTCTACAAACAGATGCAAATGATTAAAACTTATTATTAAGACAAATGAAGTATAAAGATAGGATAAACTTACCAGAAAATCTTGCTAAAAACCTATAGAAACTAGTCATAAGTCCTTCAATGTAAGTCCTTCCGACCCACATGACAGCACTGAATATCATCGGGTCTGTCGAGTGGTCGGATTTAAGATCCACTACCAAAATTTAATTTCGAACTAAACAAAAATAAAAAACAATAACAACTATGTCACCTCCAAAGCGCACATTTTATTTCTCACTGATCACAGAACACGGACGGTAAATATATACATATATCTGTAATAGATTGACAAATGATAACATGATCCGTAGAGCGCGATGCTATTTCACATAGCGACATGACAGACAGCAACGGAGTGACACATACCTACTCACTGGCCTGGTCGGGCGACGACTGGGGGTATCGGGTGGGGATCGTCGGCGCGACACGAGATTTGGCGGAAACTGCCGAGCGCTCCCCTCCCCGCACTTTAAGGTTACAATTAAAAGTAAGTCGACGATTTAACATTTAACTTTTACAACCCTAAGTTTCCTCCACTACTATCTAAATACACCCAAGATGCTAAATGGCAATCCGCTAGAGCACAATAGGACTTAAAGATCGTTTATAATAATAAATATATATATTCAAATAATAAATATATCTTCAAACTATATTATTTTGTTTTATTTTTAGAAATTATTATATTATATATTAGTAGTAATTATATATGTCCTTAATTTTGACAGATAGTAATATATCTGAATAAATAAAAAATGAATAAATAAAAAATAAATAAATAAAATTATTATGAATTTCTTTAATTTGGTATTCAGATTGTTTTTCTTTTTTAAAATTTATTTTATATTAAATTGGTTATTGAAAATAAGTTTCTATATTTTTTTGTTTAATAAATGAGATACTTTTCTTAAATGTATTAGGTGCAGGTGTTCTGTACTTACTATACCTTTTCAATTATAACTAAATTTACACATAACACTATGAAAGAAATTATCAACGCATTCTAAACGAAACAACAAGTTAAGAAGTATATTATGTGTATCCGACTAGCATAGAGATTAAGATACCAAGAAATCCAATAATTGAAATATCTATTTCCAATTTATTAAAATATTTTAATTCATTAAATACGAAACAAAACAATGTCCTGGTTAGTGTTTTCTGTCACCCTGAGATACCAAGCCAGACACAGATTAAAAGACAATAAATGGTAGATAAGACACATATTTTCACATTGTGTTGAACTAATGACAACCAACATGTCAAAAAGTTTTCAAACTGTTTACAAATAAAAATGTAAGAGTTTGTAATATGGATATCTAAAAAAAATAAACTGCTCAAAAGTGAATAGAGATATTGTTAGTTATATATTATTTATTTTCAGTAGAATATTTAGTTTATTTTTATTATAAAATACATTGAAAATTAATACAAATAAGATTGTATTGGACCTCGGGAAGTTTTATAAAATTGAGTTTAAAAAAAATAATAAAATAAAAATTTGTTTGTGATCTTGTTTTTATGATTGTGAATCGTACGAATTTTGTAAAATTTAAAAATTTGTGTAATACCCACTGTTACGCACTGCCACTCTACACCTATTGGGCATACTGTTCATAATGTTATTACTAATTACACAAGGAATTTCATACCATAAACTGCTCTCAGTTGCTGAAGGTTAAGAAGCTGCATATGGTGGTCAAAAAACCTCTGCAGTGAATCTCATATCAAGAAAATGAAAATCTGTACCAATTATGGTCCTGTTTTGAGGATTTGGTTTTGAATTCACCCCTTTATAATTTCTTGAACATAACGAACTGCAATGAGATTACCTTCCAAAATATCGAGTAGAGTCCGTCCTCCTGAGTAGACGCCAGCACAGACCATCACACTCCTACCTCTCGACTGCATTTAAGAAAGCACAAACTGTGGTAGTGTACCCATCCGCTGTTCTCGGAAGACTCTTCGGCACCTACGATCGCTAAAAATAAATGCAATTCCAATTTGTATCCTCATCTAGGCGCTCGCTGCACCATGGTCTACGACGTTGCCGATGACGCATTGTTGCTGCAGGTCTTCTTAAAGGAGCATAAGATGTTAGACCGAATTCTCACAAATGATTAAGTAAACCACAGAATTTTCAATCATCAAGGCTCCCTGGTACGTTAGCAACATTATTTTACATAAAGGCCTACAGATGCCAACAGTTAACGATCACATACGAACATACTACAAAAGATTTCACAATAACTTACACTGACATACCAACTCACCGATTCGAGGAGGCATGGCCACAGCTAATATGCCCGATAGCACCAGTAGGACGGTCAGAAGAAGCTGGATGAGGGATCTCCTCCACTAACTACAAATATTAAAATCAAAACAGGGAGGACGCCGCTGGGCACTCCTCTCCCTCACGCCTATTCCAATCTTCTACATCTCGACATCACACTCGCTGGTTGTCGGAACTTCTGACAGGTGTGAGTGAAAAAAATAAAGTTAATAAAATAAATAATGTAATTTTTATTCTTCAAATTTATTTATTTAATTTATTTTTATTAAGCTTTTTATTTACTACATCATTATTATTTATTAATTCTAAAAAACTTTTAAATTGTCCAGAGTTATAAAGGATGTGTACCTTAAGGAGTGTCTTACGTATAAGACAGTAAGCCCAACCCTGACAACTGTTAAAAATGTTATTCATTATTATAATGCCTAAGAGTATGGCTCATTAAGCAGATGTGGAAATGAAGATACCTTTAATATAGTTTTATTATTGTTTAATTTTGTTTTTTATCGACTTCAGACTTTGCACATATATATGAAAATAACTTATCTATATAATTATAACTTATAATTTTATTTAATTTTGATCTGTCGTAAACCTATGACTTAATGTCCAACAGCATCCTTTAATAACACCCCACTTATTCTTTTTGAACCAATCTGATACCTAGGACTCCACCTGGACAAGCGTCTCACTTGGAATCCTCATACGAGACTGAAACGACCAGAAACACCTCCACATTACCGCTTACTCCAACACTTACTAGACAACAAATCTAACCTTCCAATTAATTACAAAAGACTCATATACATGATTATAATAAGACCTATTTGGACTTATGAAGATGAATCGTATCCAATCTCTAGAATCCAAAATTCAATTCTCAATCAATTCTCCTTACTTTGTCACAAATAGAATAATCCATAAAGACCTTAATGTTCCATATGTTTCCGATTTGGCTCAATACAGATAACTATCCATCCATAAAAAACTTCATAACCATCCGAATCCTCTTGTTTCTAACCTTGCTTCCTCTTCAATTTCTGATAATCCTCCGAGGCGTCTGAAAAGAAGACGGCCGCGTGATCTCCTTTTGTAGACATAATATTAGAGTGCTACCAGTGAGTAGTTTCTCAAAAAGCGTTCTCATGTGATTATAATTCTGTGTACACATTACTTGATGTATTTATATTAATACAGTTGTAAATATCATAAATAAAATATTAAAAAAAAAAAATTGATCTGATAATAACCTTATTTACTTGTATGTTAGAAATTAACTTTTGATTTTCTGATATTGAATTCCGACGATACAGGGAACTGATTTTTTATTTATATTTTTTTATTTCATATTGTATATAGGTATGTATGCGTAATTTGCTTTGTTTTATTAATTTCCTTATTTTTAAGTTATTTTATTTTAGTTATTGTATATACTTTTTAATTATTATTTAGTGTTATTTTCCTTCTATTTGTTTTATATTTTTTTGTAGATATAGTATGAATGTTATCCAACCTCACTGCAACTAATGTCCAAGTGACAAATTGTTGTAATAATAAATAAATAAATAGAATAAAATAAATATTTTATAATATATTTTGTTAATTTCAATTTTAGTATATGGCAATGGTTGATCTGATTTTTAATTCAATTAAAAAATTAAGATAGAGAGAAAAAAAAAAGCAAGGGTTTATTTTGTGGAAATTCGTTGGAATGTGAGATTTCTGTTCCTTAATATATTTTAGTATAGAGCCATTAGATATATTTTTACCGGGGAAGATCCGAAACAGTTTTAATAACATTCCAGAAGTATTTATACAACAAAAAAAGGAATTAATCAGAAGAAATGTTTACAAGGCGACCTCCCGCAGCGACGGAGCTGAAATAGCATTGACCAATAGCTAGGAAGAAGTTGACCACACTGGCTAGATTTGGTTACCTTGGTTCTCGACACACCTCCGCAAAGCTCTTTATCGTCAGTTGTACTGCGTCATCAGAAGTAACAGTTCCCGAAATACCACTTCTGCTTCTTGGCAGAATGGTTCCGAGGTGAATCACGACGAGCCAATCTGGGCCAACGGCAAACAGGAAATGAAAACTGTACACCAGAATAAATTTATTGGAAAATTACCCAATTGGGAAAACTAAGGCAATGACTAACACATCTGAAAGCAGGTTAAATATCTAGGAAAAACTAACAACTTAGAGAAATGTTACAAATTGTCTACAATTACTAAAACAAATTGTATCAAATTACAGGGTTGTCCGAATAATAATGCTGAAGTTCATGTTTTCTTGATATTACCCTCTATACAGTGCCCCAATGGTCAATTTTTCAGCAGAAATGGAAGAAACTTAACTTTTTTTTTTTAAAGGAAGATGGTCCGGGGTGGTGGTCATAAATAGGCTAAATAGTGGTAAAACTATTTTATTAAAAGCCGACGTTCGAACCGACTTTGCAGGTTTTCTTCAGGGCCAGAACGGACAAGATACAAAAAGATAGAGAATTGAGGCAGTTACTACATAATATTTAGACAAAAATTATAAACAATGTGAATAAGCTTATTGAAATTATAAACAGTAAGTACATTAAAATATGAACAGAGTAAGCTAAGTAACAAGATCCTAAACTGAAGTAAATAGATGCTAACAATAGTTGTAGTGTAATATATACTAAATGCAAATGTGAATGTACTTCTACAGATCTACAGGAGAGATTGAAAGAAAAGGAAAAAGGATATAATATAAAATCGTTTTTTTTTTTATTTATTTATTTTTTTATAAATCACTTTTTTGCTGAAAGGGAAGCGATAAATAAAAAAAATCCTAAATGTAAGTTATTAGCAGTTCACGGCAAACTACAAAATAGACAAAATTTACTTCAAATGAAAATATTTTGAAGAGAAGGATAGTTGGGGTGATCAGTCACAGTAAAAATGACAAAAAATAAATAATAATATTTATTTCAACATTTGCCGAAGTTTCGAACCGAAGTTCAAGCCTTCATCAGGGCAGATCGAAGATATCGCTTGGATAGAATAAAAATAGAGTTTGTCATTGGTAAAATCAAAGATGAGCAAAACTCCCAAGGTCGATGGCGCAAGAACCTTCTCCCACCCCTAATAAGATATTTTATTGCTCTTCTCTTCATAAAAACAGTGCAAGCGAAAGTAGTTGCATGTGCTATAATGTTAATACAATTACATGGTCCGTTCT